CCACGCAGGCGCACTGGCAGGGCGGGCGCGCGCGCTCGGGGGGCTCGCTCTCAGGCTCGCGCGGGGTGCCGGCGCAAGCGCAGCTGAAGGCTGGGTCGCAGCGCCCCCTGGCGGCCCGGTCCCGCAGCGCAGCGCCGTCAAAGCCCGCGGATGACCGGAAAGAGTGGGCTTTGGGGAGGGGATGGAAATGCCCTAAATTAGATTGTGGCGACGGCTGCGCAGCTCTGGGTAAACCCCGCTGAACTGTACGCTTTAAATGGCAGAATTGCAAGTTACACCTCAGTAAAGCAGCTAAGAAGAAAAAGAACGGGCAACTGACAATGCCTGCGAGTGTGGGCTCCAAGGGCTTCAATTGCTCGAGGCTGACCCCTGGCTCGGGGCTGACCGTTCTGGCCCAGCCGCCCAGCCTGCGGGCCTCCAGGGTGACCGGTAGGTGGGCCCTGGGGTGCCAACCCGGGTCGCGCCTGGGCGGAGTCTGGCCCGGGGGCGGGGCCAAGGCGGGGCAGCCAGCCTGGGGGAGGGACCCGATGAGCTCAAAGCGGCGCCCAATCAAGGCCTCAGGTTTCCGCCCCACCACGCCCTATCCCCGCCCCTTCCCGCCAGACCACGCCCGCCCGGTTCCCGGGCGGATGCCCAACTCCCGGACGATCTTCGCCTCCCGCCGGCCGTAGACTCTCCCCTCGGGCTTCCGGCTCCCCTTCCGGCTCTGCGACCTGCCAGCTGTGCGAGCCGGGCAAGGCGCTGCGCCTCTTCAGGCCGCAGTTTCCGCCTCCGTGCAGTGGGACCTTTCCGGGGGTGCTACCGGGGCTGGGTTTCCCCGGCTTCATACAGCAAACCTTTGGACCCACACTGGTGAGCGATGCCCCTTGGCCGTGCAGCCTCCTGCCAGCCTCACCCCCTGGGGCGGCTCGGTGGACCCAGAGCTTCCTGTCTGTGAAGGGGGCTGCTGGCGATGCGGGTCCCCACAAAGCGAGGAGGCATGGCCCAGAGAGGATTCCACAGCGGCCCAGGGCCACCAGACGTCAAGTGAGCCACGATGTGGCTGGACGTTGTGATTCCGGCTGGGCTGTGCGCCTTTCCTCTCTCGGACCCACAAGAGGGGCTCGCCTCAGGCCGGAAACAAGCATGGCCCAAAGCCACTTAACACAAGCTCCGTCACACAGTACCTGCTAACTGACGGCGCCCCCACCCCTCAGGCACCTCATGGTCCCTGCTGCTCCACCAGGTTCGCCTTCTCATCCTCCACCCCAGCCCTGCCTTCTCCAATCTGGAGAGCCTCGTCCCCCAGGAAGCCCCCCTGCCAAGCCCCACAGGGCAGTTTTGTCCCCTCTTTGTGCCTCTCTCACTGCACTCAGCCTCGTCCACCCAGCCCGGGGTCACGTGTCCCTGTTTATGCCCCTTGCCGGGAGGCGTGGAGGCTAGGCCGAGTCTCAGTCCTCTCTGGTGGCTGCTGCTCCTGCAGCGGTTCAGCCCGGGGCTGTGGTCTGCAGAGACAGGGTTCCTTCCCTTACAGGCATATCCTGGAATGTGTATCTGGCAGTCAGACTTGATGCAGACAGACAGGTTGGATGAATTGGTGCCAGTGGAGGAGGGTGCTGACTCTGAGACCCTGCTCCTGATCTCAGTGCACCACCCAGTGGCTCAGACACCACTCCCCGACCCACTCTGGGTCCTCGAAGGCCTGGACACGCATTGGCAGGGGCAGGCTAAGACCCGGGGCTTCCCTGGATGTTCTGGGCACCTAGAGCTCAGGGCCTGGGAGGGGTGGGGGATGGGCAGCCCCTCTCCCAGTAGAAAAGACGTTGAGTTTCCACTCCATCTGACAGCGGGTGCTCGGAGCCAGATCCCACCTGCATAGAGCAAGGAGAGTAATGGGACAAGTGTCATGGCCAAATCCCTCTGGCCCGTGTGTGTGAGATGCTGGGTGCGTAGCAGACCTGGTGGCTTCACTGCCCTTCCCGTGTAAAATGAGGGAGGGGCTAGGTGGGCACACCCTGTGGGCTGAGTGAGGAAGCGCCCAGAGAGGCTCCTGGGGAGAGAAGTCGGCATGATGTGCGTGGTGGGGGAGGGGTGAGTGTGTGCGCATGTGCAAGTGTGTGTGCACACGTGTGTGGTGAGGAGGGAGCAGGCCCCGGGAGAGGGAAATAAGAATTGACAGATAATGAATAAAGAGCTTAAAGTGCCTTGTATTAAAAAAAACAACAACAAAAACTTTGCAATCAAACTATCATGTACCTCTCTCTGTCTCCGGAGGTAAGAGACAACAGTAGTGGCAGATGGGGGAGGGGTGTGGAGAGACCTTTCCCCATGTGTCCTTTTGTACACAAGGGTTTTTGACCTACAGGAAGTGAGCCGCCTATTCAAAAACTTAAATGAAAAAATCTAACATGCGATATATTATTTGCAATCATTGAGAAATCATAAATCTAATTACTTTTTATGAGCTATAACCTATAACATTCTGTTAACTTCAGGTGCACAGCATAATGGTTTGATATTCACATACATTGTGAGATTGTCTGCTTCTTGAGAAAAGATGGTGTATTCCTCATTCGTAAAAGAAGGAGGCGAAAGGCCAGGGGAAGGGCTCTGGGGAGAGGAGACCTGTGGAGGGCGGAACCCCAGGTGTCCCCTGGCCCACACTGAGACCCAGGCTGGGCAGAAACCTGGGCTCTGTGCTATGCTCTTGTCACGAATTAACCACTTTGCCACTACAGCCCCATACATGCTACAAAGTCTCCTTCTAAGCAACCTTGCCGTGGTCCACAGTCGGGGACAGGGCCAGCAACTGACCTCCAGAAGCCACCTGCCTGTGACCCCGCCCCCCAGCCCACCAGGCCTGGCCTGTTCTGGGCCCCACGTGCCCTCACCTGGACTTCCTCTCGCAAGCACCCTCCAGCCCCCGGGGCCACAGATACCTGCCCCTACCTTTGCCTGTGTCTCCCCTGCCCAGATCTCAGCTCTTGGGTCTATGATCACCACCCCAGGGGCTCCTCTGACTCTTGGACAAGAGGGTCCATTTGGTCCCCAACAGTCAAGTGCTTTATGGCACCCACATCACCTGCTTGTTGTCCCAAGTCACTGGTGACCAATCATTCAATGTCCACCTTCCCTGCCAGGCCATCAGTCGGCTCCAGGGGGCCAGAGCTGGTCTGCTTTTGCAGCATTGACCCCACCCAGCACACAGCAGGGCCCAGCACCCAGCAGCTTGACAGGGCTGTTTGTTGGTGAACTGACCAAACACTGACCTAGGCACTCCCTTAGTAACTGGGGTGGATTAACCACCCCAATCTGTGTTGCCCAAATCTTCAAAAGATGCACTTGGCCTCCCAAGTGTCTTGATCCCAGGAATGGGGGCTTGGATCCCTGGTAGGAAACACCTAGGCCCTGGAAAGGGATCTCTCTTATGGTCAATAAAGGGGTAAGCCTCTGGTTTATACATCAGTCTTGTATGAGTTGGGCCAGTGTGAATCATTCCCCAGATCAGGTCTGTGTTCTGACCAACTGGAGTTTCTTGCCTGGGGAACAGATGCCATCTCTGGAAGGTGGTATCCACCACTCATCAGAGGGCACGTATTCCCCATACCTGGGGGGACACTTGGTTCTTGGTCATGAGCATCAGGTCCAGTGGAAGGACCTGTCTCTGCATATACAAACAACTGTCCCAGTCTGTCCCCCATCCCTGTATATACAACTGCCCCTGCGTGTCCTTCGTCCCCATGTGTACAACTGCCCCGTGTGTCCCTCTGCCCTTGGACACACTGTCTTTCCCTCTGACTGAGTCTCTGGCGGAGGTGGACTCCGCCCCTGCATGACTGGCACCGCCCTGCGGGCTGCTTCCCTCCAGTGCACACGTCAAGACGTGGGAGGGAATCACTGACTCGGGAGGGAGATGCCGCCTTTGGCGCTGGGAGGCCGGCTCTGGGTCCCACTCTCCCACGTCCACCTGCTCAACCAGGGCCTGTCCTCGGGCCTCGCCTGGACACCTGGACGTGGAGGACAGCTGAGGGCTGGGGCGGGCGGGAAGGTGATTTCCCATCTGGCGCCTTCCTCGGCCTGCAGCCCTCATATCACACCCCTAGGGGGCGCATTCCACCCACTGTTTGGACCTAAATGGGGCGCCTGTCTCAGAAAGCTGCAGGCAGAAACCAAGGGAAGTGTTTCCTGTTCCTTGGGAGCTGGCCCACCACGAAGGGACCAGTCACGGCGTTTTGAAAAGAAAGTCTGATTCACCAGACCGGGCACATGAGGAACAGCTGTGGTGACCCTAGGGATGTTGATCCTGCCACTGGGTGAGACTCTGTGGGCCGCACCTGTCCTGGTGCCGTTACTGTCCCCATCACATCACCTACAGGGCTAAGCAGGGCTCAGGGAAAGTGGGGAGCCCCGGGGAGACAGGCTCAGCGGCTGGCCACCCCTGACTCCTTGAGGGGTTTGGCTCCTTTGGGGGAGTTGCCAGATTTAAGATGTAAAAATAGAGGATGCTCCGTTAAATTTGAGTTTCAGAAAAACAAT